GGGCATCTCACAACACGGGTGCACTTATACACATGTAGGCAATGCACTCATACACATAAAATAAGAAGAAGCCCTCCCTCAAAGACTAAGGCAGAGGGCAGTCAAAGAAGATCCCTGACATCATCCTCAGCCCCTCATGAAACTTTGTATGTATACACACCTTGTAGTTTGTATAGGTTTGTGTGTATACACACACACACACACACACACACACATAGATACAGATGGCAAGTGTTTTATTTATATGGCTTTTACTGATATATGAGTTTTAAATTTCAAAAGAAAATTGTTAGCAGATAAAACAGGCCACATTGAACATTAGTGTGTTAGTCTATACCAAAACGCCACAGTCTGGGTGGCTTATTAGCAAAAGAAGCTTATTTCTCACTGTGGAGGCTAGGGTCCCAGATCAATGCACTGGAAGGCTTAGTGTCTGCTAGGCTTACTTTCTGTTTGTTTCTAGATTGTCTGTTCACTGTGTCTCATGTAGCTAAGGGGAGCTCGCTGAGGTCTCCTTGGTATGAGCCCCTTTCATGACTTAGTCCCTCCCAAAGGGCCTACCTCACTTCCAAAGGCCACTGCCTCACTTCCAAAGGCCACTGCCCCCCAAATTAGATTTCATTATTGATGAATTCTGGTATATTCAGCTAGTCTATAGCACAGAAACATTAAGCTTAATACTAAATAAACAGGTAGGTTAAAGAATCATCTCTTGGATCTTTGAAAAGTGAAGATGTGGGTTGGAGAGGTGGCTCTGTGGGTAGAGTGCCTGCCTAAACATTCATGGGACCCTGGGTCTGATCCCCAGTACTGCACAAACCAGGTATGGTGGCCCAAGCCTGTAACCCCAGCACTCGGGAGGTAGAAGCAGCAGGATCCAGAGTTCAAGGTCATCCTTGGCTACATAGTCTGTTTGAAGCTAGCCTGGGCTATGTGAGAACCCATCTTAAAAAAACATGAAAATATGTATGTGTCATCCTTGGTCAGCATTGAAAGCTACTTAATCCCAGTTGACTCAGAGCATTGCTTAAAACAGGGTTGAGTCATGAAAATAGCAGCTTGCTGACGTAAACACAATTCAGCTCAGTAACAGAAACCAAGTCAGTGACCTGAGCACAGCTAACATGGTAAAGATAAGATCTTACAAAGTCAAGAAAAGCCAACTCATCTGTTGACCCCTTTACAGAGACCTGGAGGGGGCAGAGCTGGGATCAAGACCCCAGACTTTAGATCTAGCATGATTTACCTTAGAGACTAGCAGGTCAGCCAAGATGACACCCAGGTGGAAGGAAAACAACTGGGAGAAGTTGGCCACAGCCTGTGTCAGCTCAGTCATCCTGAGGAAAGGTGGGGGCTCAGGAAGAAATTTTATAAAGCACGGTGGGCAGTCCATGCTCCTTGGAAAACTGACCTGGGGAAGGACACTGTTGGAAATACATGATGACTTGACTGAGGCTTCTTCTCACTCCCATCCCTGTATTTATATTATTTATTTATTTATTTATTTATTATTTATTTATTTATTTATTTTTGTCTTTTTGAGACAGGGTCTCCCTGTAGCCTCAGCTGGCCTGGAACTTACTATGTAGACCAGGCTGGCCTTGAACTCACAAAGATCCACCTGCCTCTGCCTCCCAAGTGCTGGGACTAAAGGCGTGCGTCACCATGCCCAGCCCATTCCTGTCTTTATAGTGTAACAAACCAATACTCACTCATTAGGAACATGTAATTTGAACTTTTACCTTCCCTTAAACTAGTCTTGTGTGGTCTGATCTTGTCTAGTGGGGCAGTTGTTGGGGTTCAGTGCCTGGCCACTCACAGTTATAAGCAAGATAAGGGGTACTTCATGGTCTACTGCCTGGCCAAGCCAGAGGTTTAGTGGGTTTTTGCACTGGATAAAATTTTCTCTTAGAATATTATGATCCATTTAACTTCCAGTGGACTTCCCAGTACCCTGTTTCTTAATCATATACACTCAGGCACCAAGTCAATCCTCTGCAAAGACTTCTCTACCCCCTGAAGATTAAGCTGTTTAAGAGGTGAAACTCCCATTTTTTCCTTTGTCTTTTTTATGCCCCCATGTCTATGGATTAAAAAAATACATTGTACTAAAGTGGAAATCTTTTCTGGCCCTCCTTCCTCTCTACCTCCTCCTCCTCCTTTCTCTCTCTCTCTCTCTCTCTCTCTCTCTCTCTCTCTCTCTCTCTCTGGTCTCCCATACACCCAGATATCATCCTCCTGCCCCCACCTCCTGAGTGCTGGGATCATAGATATGCCCACTATGCTTGGCTTCTGTGGTGCTGGGGCTCAAACGCAAGGCTTCATATGTGCTAGGCAAGTGCTTTGCCAACTGTGCATGTATGCCCAGTCCTGGGAGGCCTTTCTGCATTGTTTACCTCTGGTTTGCCAGCAAATTGACTGAGCATGAAATGTTTTAGATGACGCTTTTACAGGATTCCAGTTATACAAGTCAGAGATCTGATAAGGTGTTGTGAGGCTGGGGCTTTTGTCAGCTCAGGGATGCAGCCTCTTCCTTGTCTACCTCTTCTAGGCTGCTTGTTCTTGCTGGCTCCTTCCTCCATCTCCAGAGCCACCTGTGTCAGCCCCTTACTATGCTCAGTCCCTCGAGCCACAGTCCCCAAAACTCCTTCTTGTGGGTCATCTGCAAAAAGCTGCCCAACATCAGCTCCTTACTTGTAATCCCACCATCAGAGTCTCGATTGCCGCAGGAAATGATGCCTTCCCCAGTTCCAGAGAGCAGATCTGGAGCTCTCTGAGACTTTCCACACCTCCCATAAATGTTCTTTTTAACAATATATTTATTGTGTGAGTGTTTTGCCTGCATGTACCTAAGTATACCCATGTCATGCAATGCCCACAGAGGCCAGAAGAGGGCATCAGCTCCCCTGGAGCTGGAGTTATGGCCGGTTAGCAGCCATGTGGGTGCTGGGAATTGAACCCAGGTCCTCTGCAAGAGCAGCCAGTGCTCTTAACCACTGAGCCATCTCTCCAGCCTCATCCCACCAGTGCTCTAATGGTGACAGTGGATCCCAGTGGTGTCCACCCAGGGCATGTCATATGTCCGTACCTTGATGCTGGCTCATGTGATTCAGGAAGAGGCTCCTGCTGACCTGGGATTGGCACTCTCCTTTGGTCTCTTACAGTCTGCTGGGCCTCAGAGACTCAGGCTGTCACAGCTGCCGGTTTGGAGCACCTCAGCTGGCCCTGCAGAGTCTCATTGTCTTTGTCCCTTGGATGGAGCTGGTTACCTGCCCCTGCCACCCAGTCCTTCTGGACATTGCCACCAGGGTCCCCTACAGTGTGATGGCATGAGGGACTCGGCCAGCCTGCCCCCAATCCCACCTCCCTTTTTCTTTCCTTTTCTTTTCTCTCTTCTCTATTTTCTTTTCCTCCTGGAGACCCCAAGCCATGCCTCTGTAGATACCTTGTATTTCTTCATGGACTTAAAAAGAATTTAATTACATTTATTTATTCTCGTGTGTATGCATGCGCACATGTGTGCCACCATGCATGTGTGGAGGTCAGAGGACTTGTGGGAGTCAGTTCTCTTTTTCTACCATGTGGGTCCTAGAGATTGAACTCAGGTCACCAGGTTTAGCGGCAAGAGCCTTTATTTGCTGAACCATCTTGCTAGCCCCTCTTTATGAATATTTTTAAGATGTGCATGCCAGGGGCTGGAGAGATGGCTCAGTGGTTAAGAGCACTGGTTGCTCTTACAGAGGAACTGGGTTCAGTTCTCAGTTCCCACATGGCAGCTATCCACCGTTCTTAATTCCAGTCCCAGGAGATCCAGTGCCCTCTTCTGATGTCTGAGGGCACTGCATCACACAGGTGTACTTACATATATGCAGGCAACACACTCATACACATAAAATAAAAATAACAAATAAAATATTTTTTTTGAAAAGATGTGCATACCAGCCCCTCTTTATGGATGTTTTTATGATGTGCACACTGGCTGCTCACATTTAAAAGTTAACTAATCTCAAGTACAAATCCTGATTTTTTTTCTTTCCTTCCTTTCTTCCTTTTTTGAGGTACTGGATGCTCAGGGCACCTTAGGCCATCTTCCTATAGGACATCAGGATGGTGGCTGCCCTTGTAGGTGGGATGTGGCTTCCCTGTAGTCTCCACCTAGCCCTCTTCCCTCACCTCCATGAGCCATTCCACTCATTTCATAGTTTGCACACAGCCACCTGAAATGGAGCAGGCCTGCCTGAGGCTGGGAAGGGACCCAAATGTTCCTCCTGGACCCTGGACCTTTGCCTTAGGCATACCCAGTTTGCCACCTGGCTTGTCCCCTCCTGCTCCTCAGCACCATGACCTGTGGGCAGCTCCACAAACTTCTGAGTCTGGGTTTCCTGGCTGGTGGATGGGGTCATCTCTTCAGCTCTGTCTCATGTGGGGCTGGAGGGTGCTACATTGGGGAGCATGTTCCACAGCAGTACACCTGAACTATCCCTGCAGAGTGTCAGTGACAGCTCCTTCCTGGATATAGTAGTCACAGATGCCCCACACATTGCTGCACCCCCAGCAGTGTGGGGGGGGCGTGTGTGGCAGAATCACTCATCAAGAACTAGAGCCTTTTCAGTGGAGAGTGTGGCAGGCTGAGGGGAGCCCAGGGCTGAAGAGCCCACAGTGTCCTGGCTGAGGGGAGCCCAGGGCTGAAGAGCCCACAGTGTCCTGGCTGAGGGGGGCCCAGGGCTGAAGAACCCACAGTGTCCTGCCCCTTCTTGCCCTGTGGCTGGTGGACTTAGTGCAAAGTGTGCCAGAGGTGGCTCTGTGGTCACTGGGCACAAGGCAGTGTTGCCACTACACTTTTGGTGTGCAACCTGCCTTGGGGTCCCACCAGACCAGATGAGTCCCTTCTGAGGGGCCCACCATGAGTGTGGCACCTCACAATCCTAGAGTGGCCCCCTGCCTTTGCCTCCTCTCCTTATATGCTGTGTGTCTGACCCTTCAACCTGTGTTACCTCAAGGTGGCACTGGTCCAGTGGACGGAAAGCGTCGGCTTGACCCTGGTGGGTCGAGACCAGTCTTCCGTGCAGCTGAGGACCCCTGGTGGCCAGATCCTGAACTTCACCATCCTTCAGATCTTCCCCTTCACCTACGAGAGCAAGCGGATGGGCATCATCGTGAGGGTGAGTCTGGTCCTCCCACTCGCAGCGCCTTCTCCCACCCCTCACCTACTGCAAGGCACCCTTACGTCTTGTTAACCCTCATTACTGTGTTTCTGTCACCCAGACTAACAAAGCAGTGTGACTCTAAGCAGGAAGGGAATTCAGCTGGTGAATAGATGCACCCCAGTTCAACCAGTGCTTATGCTGAGCCTGGTTTTGGCCTACAAGTTCTAACGAATAGAAGTCAGGCAGCTCTTGGAAGTACTTTCTTATTTTCTTACTCTCTATTTAAAAGAATTGCTTTTTAAAAATATTTTATTTATTATTTTTATGTGTATGAGTGTATTGCCTGCATATATGTGAGTGCACCCCTGTCATTCAGTGCTGCAGAGGTCCAGAAGAGGGCTTCAGATTCCCCTGGAACTGGAGTTAAGGACGGTTCGTAGCCGCCATGTGGGTTCTGGGAATCGAACCTGGGTCCTCTGCAACTCTCTTAACCGCTGAGCCATCTCTCTAGCCCCAAGAATTACTTTTTAATTTATTTATTATGGTATGGCAGTAGGGGGCACACATTTACTGTGCACACGTGGAGGTCAGAGAACAACTTGCGGGACTTGATTCTTTCCACCAGGTGGTTTTGGGGATCAAATTCAGGTAGTTGGGCTTAGCAACAAGCACCTTTACCCTCTGAGCCATCTTGCCACTCTCATTCTCTTTTGTGTTTCAAACCACATGGCTCTTGGCTTCCTGAGCTTGGACACACTGTGACCAACTACCTCACGCTCCTGCCACCACACCTTCCCCCACCATGTTGAGCTCTGTCGCCTTAAAGTGTGAACCAAAATGATCCTGCCTCCCTCAAGTTGCTTCTTGTCAGGGATTTGGCCACAGCTACGAGAACAAAACTGAGCGAGTCAGTGGCACTGAGCATCTTTACAGCATTATGCAAATACCATTTCCATCTGCCTTGAAACATTTTCATCACAGCAAAAGAGAACTTTGCAGGGCCAGTGAGATGGCTCAGTGGCCATGAGTTCGATCTCAGAACCAACATGGGAAAAGGGGAGAATGGCTCCTGTGAACTGTCCTATGAGCGCCACACATGTACCATGGCACATGCACACACACACACATAACAACAATAATAATAAATGAAAATACAATAAAATTAAAGAAAACTCTGCAGCCATTAAACCAGCTTGCATTCCAGCTCCTGCTTTCCATCAGTCTGGTTTCTCTCCCTGTGTATTTACCTGTTTTGGAAACTCCTTATAGATGGAATCATACAGTCTGATCTTTTGTTTCTGGATTCTTCCTTTTATCATGGTTTCAGGACTCATCTATGTTACAGTATAAACCAGTATTTCCTTCCTTTTTATGGCTGACTAGTATTCCATTATATGTCTGTACAAGTTGAGTATGCATCCTTTATCCCAATGTTTGAGACTACCGTGTAAAGTTTTGCATTAGATATTGTAATATCTTGAGGATAATCCCCAAATCCAACAGGAAATTTACTTATGTTTGCTATATACTGTATACACGGTAGCCTGTAGGTAATTTTAAACAGCGGTTCTTTCTCTCTCTTTTCTTTCATTTTATGTATATAGGTGTTTTACCTGTATGTAAGTTTTAACCATGTGTGATGTGTACAGAGGTAATTTTAAACAGTGGTTCTCTCCCTCTTTCCTCTCTCTCTTTCATTTTATGTATATAGTTGTTTTACCTGTAAGTAAGTTTAACCATGCGTGATGTGTACAGTATCCAAGGAGTCCAAAACAGGGCATCACATCCCCCGAAACAAGTTATGGATGGTTGTAAACTGTGATGTGGGTGCTGGGAACTGAACCAGGTCCTTTGGAAGAACAGCCAGTGCTCTTAACCACTGAGTCATCTCTCCAGCCCCTAAACAGCATTTGGAGTGCCATTTTATTGTGCCCATAACCTGAGGTTAGGTGTGGAATTTTCCACTTGTGACATTTTGTTGGTGCTCGAAGAATTCTGAAGCTTTGGGGCTGGGGAGATGGCCCAATAGGTAAAGTGCTTGTCTTGCAAGCATGAAGACCTGATTTCAATCCCCAGAACCCATGTAAAAAAGTTTGGGTGTGGTGGTATGCGCTTGCAATCTCAGGGTTGAGAGGCAGAGGCAAACAGCTCACTGGCCAGCCAGAGGTCAGCAGTGAGGGATGGTCAGCAGTCAGGGACAGCCAGTGGTCAGCAGCAGGGTGGCTGTCAGCAGTGGGAGGGACGTTCAGCGGTTTGCAATGGGGCTGTGGTAGAAATGGTGGGAGCACCAACAGTAACAGTCATGGGTGGCAGTCAGGTAGTTCAGTGACTGGCATAAGCTAGCTTGAGTCTCACCATAAACTCATGAGTTAGTTGTGTGATTTACATTTGTGGTTGACCTTTGACAAAGGAAGAAACTGAGGCACAGAAAGACTGAAAAGAAGCACCCAAGTTCACACGGGGAGAAGCTGCTGGAGCAGGGATTCAGCCTCAGGCTATCTGGCCCCCAGGGTGCAGTCCTTTGCTCTAGTACCTGGGACTTGGGTGTGACCAGGATATGGAAAAGCCCACAGCCCCTGTGACTGTTGGGAAGGTATATTAATTATGCATTGCTAATAGATCACCTTAGTGGCTTAGAGCAACAGTATTTATATTCTCTGACAGTTTCTATAGGATAGGGAATCTGGGTGTAGTTTAGCAGGGTCTCCTGACTAAACTACTCCTGGAATCCTTTTAAGTTGGGTTTCAAGTTGGGTTCAAGGGTTGGCTTGTCACTGCCACCTCAGGATCTCCTGGGGATGGGGTTCACTTCCCCACAGCCTCAGCAGGATGCAGGACTGGGTATTGTTCTATCCTGACAGCTGGGCAGAGGCCACCCTCGGTGACTGCCTCTCTGTAACTTTCTCTGGGCTAGCCTCAGATCAGCTGGCTTTACCCTTGTGAGAATATGAGCAGGTTGGAAGTCCCCAGCTCTGGGGACCAGCCTTAGAGGAGACAAGCCATCAGTCACATTAGCTTTGTTCTGTTACCAGGAGTGAGTCACTTGGTCTAGCCAACCTCTAGGGGGATGGGGTCTCCACCCAGGGCCTGGGGCAGTGACTCCTTGAACTTCCAACCTGAAGACCCAGTGACTCAGTGTGGCTGTGCTCTGAAATGTCTCATTTGGACTACAGCCAGTTAGGACTTTCTGACCCTGTAGGATAAGTGTCCTTGACAACTCTCAGGCAGGGAGGAAGCTTTTCCCATGGCCACACCTGGCCTGACCCTTGGCGCCTAACCCACCTCTCCAGGGCCCATCTGAGCTCAAGGATGGCTATGGGTCAGAAATCCTGGGGTAGGTGTTTCCTGGAGTTAGCATCTCCCACAGAATTAACCTTGTTTGCTTCTACCCTTTATTTTTCAAGTTTTAGGGTTGTGGATTCTGCTAGGGTCATTTGAGGGTTGAGTCATTGGATAGTCCCCAACGCCTGCCTTTTAGAATAAATGAACGGTACGCACCGCCCTTCCTTTAGCTGTGAAGGGATCTCATTCCCAGATGCACATCATATTTTATGAGAAAGTGACCCTGCATCTTCCCACACCAGGGCACTGAGAGTGCAGGATACTCTTGAATGGGCTTTTACTTAAGAACAGTATACCCCCTGCCTAGGTTATTTATTTATTTTTAAAATCAACTTTCAGTTTTTAAAAGAACCAGCATTCACAGCTGAGGGTCCAGAGCAAATAATACATAAAAAGGGAAATGAAGCCAGGCATGGTGACTCACAGCTGTAATTCCAGCATTCTGGAGGCTGGGGTAGGTAGGGGCCAGCCTGGGCTACAGAGTAAGTTCCAGGCCAGCCTAAACTATAAAGTAAGACCTGTTCAGGTCCATTTTTGCTGCCAAATAACATCAACTTTATCTTTACAAGGGAGTTCCAGTTTTTAGTCTTTTCTAACACAGTTTTAACAAAATTGATCTCTAACTCCATATCAAACTTATTTTCCCCTCTCCCCATTGAATCATATGTATATATATGCACACATATATGTGTATATATGTATGTATGTGTGTGTGTGTGTGTGTAAAATAGAAATTTTCTCATGCCACTGACATGGTTTTACTGATTTTAATGTGTGTGGTGTTCTGATGGAGGACTACACCTGTTTCATTCGCTTCTGTTTTTTTTTTTTAATTTTTAAAGTAATGTTTACATGTGTCACAGTTGGTGTGTGATCAGAGACCAACTTGCAGGAGTTGGTTCTCGCTTTCCACCATGTGGATACCAGACATCAAACTTGGTAGCAAGTACCTTCACCCACTGAGCCAGCTCACTTGTCCCCCCACTGCTGAAAGTCTGTTTCACATTTTTGCCCAATTGAACTAATGCTAGGCTGGGTGTGGTGGCGCACACCTCTAGTCCCAGCACTTGGGAGGCAGAGGCAAGCAGAGGCCAGCCTGGTCTACTGATAGTGAGTTCCAGGCAAGCTGGGGCTATGGGAGACCCTGTTTCTCCCTCTGCCTGCTCATCCATCCAACTCTGGTTTGGATAGGTGGAAATCAGCTTTGCCCTGGGCTTTAGGGCGAGCACTCTGTTTTATACCTACCTGACCACACCCCTCCACCTTGCAATTCCCACCATGGGGACATTCGAAGATGGAGAAATCTGTAGTTGTTACAATCCCAGGAAGAGGCTGCTGTTTGGCATCTTATGTGCACAGGATTGGCCAGTGACAAGGACCTGCGATACATGAGAAACCATGTTCTGCTGTGTTCATGTGACCTGCCTGTGTTGTGGGCAAGTTTTAGTATAGTTTTCCTGGCTTTGTTTTTTCCCTGTAGGTTGAGGAACATTTGAGACAGGACCTCATACTGGAGGGCCCTGGCTGCCTCAAACTTACAGCAATCCTCCTGCTTCAGTCCGTCATCTCCTAAGTACTAGGATTGTAGGCATGGCTACTCACTCAGCCTCAGACTTGGTTTAGCAGTTGCTGTTCTGTTGGGTTTCATCCAACCTTTTATTTATTTTTAAAATTTTATTTATTAATTTTTTTGTCTTTTTGAGACAGGGTCTCCCTGTAGCCCCAGCTGGCCTGGAACTCACTATGTAGACCAGGCTGGCCTTGAACTCACAGAGATCCACCTGCCTCTGCCTCCCAAGTGCTGGGACTAAAGGTGTACACCACCATGCCCAGCTATTATTATTATTTTTATGTGTGTGAGTGTAATGCCTGCATGTAGGTAGGTGGACCCATGTTGTACAATGCCCACAGAGATAAGAAGAGGGTGTCGGATCCCCTGGAATTGGAGTTACAGACTGCCTTGTAGGTGCCAGGAATTGAACCCACCTCTTCTGCAAGAGTAGTCAGTGCTTTTAACCACTGAGCCACATCTCCAGCCCTCATCCAGTCTTTTAAACATCTGTGAGGCCATGTGGTACGCTCAGCAGTGCTTTCCCAAGCCCGCCCTCCAGGTCTTTACCTAGGAGCTCATTCCTGAGCCCATCAGGCCTTTTCTCTGCTTGAGTCTGTATCCTACATGCTCAGGTGAGGTCAGGGAAGCTGGCTGCCCTGGGACTTGTGTGATGTCTTTCTGAAGGCAGAGCAGAGTGTGGCCCCCTTTGTACAAGGTGTTCCATTGCCCTGCTCTGCTTCCCACATGGTGTAGTGGAGTTGGATTGCTAGTAGAGGCTACACTGTTGTCACTGAATCAGTGAGGCCTCTGAACAGGTGCCAGACACAGACCATCGGGGGACACGGCAGTCCTGCCACACACTGGACCAGCCCAGCTCTGTAAATTTAGGGTGTAATCTTGCCATAATATGAGAACACAGTAAACTGGGGATGAACTGGGCAGGAGGAAATGACTCACAAGGAGATAATGGATATAGTATTTATAATGGATGGAACATTGGAGCTTGCCAGAGCCTCTCTGGTAAAGGAAGCCGGGTGGGAGCGATCTTTCCTGCAGCCATGGTGTTAAGCACCATTTGGGTGAAGAGGAAAGGGGAAAAAAAAACCTGATGCTTTCATGTTCAGAGCCCTCTTTTGGCCTGAGTCACAGCCAGGGAGGGCTGTTCATCTTAGGCAGGGCATGCAGTTGGCCAGGTTCAAGACACAGGTGTCTCTGCTTGGCCCAGGGGAATGAAGTGAGTCAGCTTGTACTGACAGCTAGTCCATGGTTAAAGGTCATTCGAAGGTTACTTTGAAAGAGGAATCATACCCTTAGTTAACCTTCGGGTATCTAATTCTTAGTGTTTGTGTACGTGTTCGTGTGTGCATTCATGTAGTGGCCAGAGGTCGATATTGGGTGTCTTCTTCAATCCCTCTCCACCTTACTTTGTGAGACTAGGTCTCTTACTGAACCAGGAACTCACCATTTCAGCGCAGTTGGCTGGCCAGCAAGCTGCAGAATCTGTCTATGCCTCTAGTGCTGTGGGCATGCACACATGTGCCACAGTATGTGTGTAGAGATCAGAAGCTAACTTATAAGAGTTGGCTCTCTCTTGTTAAATAAGCTATTTTTTTCCCATTGATTATTATTTTTTTTTACATGCATGACAAAAATTAGGCGTCTATAGTTGTGTGGGTTTATCACTGGGCTATTATGCTCTAGTGGTCTATATGTTTGTTCTTATTTATCTTTATTTTTTGGTCTTTTTGAGACAGGGTCTCCCTGTAACCCCAGCTGGCCTGGAATTTGCTATGTAGACCAGACTGGCCTTGAACTCACAGAGATCCACCTGCCCCTGCCTCCTGAGTGCTGGGATTAAAGGCATGCATCATCACACCTGGTGGTTTGTTTTTATTTTTATTCTTTCTTTATTTTTTGTATTTTTGAGACAGGGTCTCCCTGTAGCCCCACTTGGCCTGGAACTTGCCATGTTGACCAGGGTAGCCTTGATCTCACAGATCTACCTGTCTCTGCTCCCGAGTGCTGGAATTAAAGGCATGTTTGACCACGACCAGCTACACGTTTATTTTCAGGCCAGTACGATGCTGTCTTTGTTACTGTGGGTCTGCAGTGTATTTTGAGGTCAGATAAGGTTAGATGATTACAGATGCATGCCACCACCTATAATCCAGCTTTTTGTTTTTTTCAAATGGGTGCTGGCCAACTGAGCCATTTCCCCAGCCTCTCTAAACCATAGCAACAACTTGGTAGATAATTTTGGGGGCTTTCTGGAATGGTAAAATAGAAGCACACAGTATTGACGTGTACTGGTACTTCCTCATCTTCCTCATCTGGTACTTCCTCATCTCCGGCATCTCCCGTCTCTTGGTGTTTGGAGGCTTTGAGGAAGGAGTAGGCTGAGAATCGATGTCCTCCAGTACCCTTTAGAACCAGCACCTCAGTCTCTGTACCACTGAGGTGCGGGGCCTGATGAACCCTTGGTTGTACGGCCATCCTGGGTGCTGTGGTGTGTGGCAGCACCCATGGCATCTCTCTACACAGCCCACCCTCAGAGTTGTGACAACTGATGGTGTCTGTCTAGTGTCATCTGTCATGAGTCTGAGACTGAGCCTTGTTCTCCCATAGAGGGTGATGGAGAAGTTAGGGAGTTATCAGTTTCCAGGAAGACTGTCACTAAAGGCCACTTTCTACTTGAGGCCACATGCCACACACCGACCAGTGAGCTCAGATCAGCCATGTTAGTCAGTGCAGCAAGAAAGCGTAGCACTTCCTGTTTTATAGAGGAGAAAACTCAGGCAGAGAGAGGAGAAACTGTTTGCCCAGTGTCCCTAGTTGGGAGCTGGTACCAGGCCAAATGTTTGATGCCTGTGTAGGGTCTTAGGTCAGGGTAACAAAAATGGGCCATCATTTACTGTCTGGGTAAGCCCTCCCATTCCCCTCTGGAATTATTTGAGCGAGTTTAACCTGTAGCCCCTGAGTACTGGGGTAGCTATGAATGTGACTCAACTCATCTGTAGATGACAGCATCATATTACAATGTTGAAAGATTGGACCCCTGCCTCCCCAAAGGGGAGGACATTTGCTAGTGTCTGGAGAGACATGGCTGTCACCGTGGGACCATACCTAGCATCTGATGGGTGGAAGCCTGGGTACCACTCAGCATCCTATCAGGCACAGGGCATCCCCAAGACAGAGATTCAGGTCCAAAATATGGACAGTACTGGGGTGTGGAGGGGCCCAGTCTCTTGATTGCTGTCTTCCTGCTGTGTATGAACCGCAGTTGGCTCAGCTGCACAGCCCCATGGATACAGTTGAAACAAGCCAGCTGCATGCAACTATTCAGCTGGAACTACAATGACTTCCCAGACAAAAATCTTGGTTGTCTTTGATCTTGATTTTATCATTTAACAATTTTCCAAATACTCCCGAGCTCTCTTCTCTGTTCTGTGGCCTTTACTTCAAAGTGAGGCTCTCTCTGGCATTTTATCTTTGGCCAAGTGTAAAAGTCCTGGCCTCTGCTTAGTACAGCCTACACACCGCCTGTCACCAGAAGCGGATCAGACCCGGGATATGTGTTCCCTTCATTGCTCATCTCTTCCTGCTTCCATTTCCAGGATGAGTCCACGGGGGAAATCACATTCTACATGAAGGGGGCAGATGTTGTCATGGGCGGCATTGTCCAGTACAATGACTGGCTGGAGGAAGAGGTGAGCCTGGGGCAGGCAAGTGAAATGAGACCTGGGGAGCGTACACTGCAGAGGCTGGGCCTTTGCGGGGTATAGGAAGTGGTCCCTAGTTAGTTGTGGGTGTGGAACTAAGCCCCAAGAAACTTGGCACAGCACCATCCACTGTAAAACTTAGCAGCGTCAGCACCATGCATTTCTTTCTCATGATTGATGGGGGGGGTGATGTGCAGTTCAGGCGTGGGCCTTTGCATCAGGGTGTCAGTGTGGCTGGGCCTCAGCTGAAGACATGTCTAGGGTGGGATGTACTCTGAGCATTGCTTGGTGCTTGGTGCTCAGTGCTTAGAGCTTGGTGCTCATTGCTCAGTTGTGAGTGTTTGCAGGCAGCACCCAGCCCCTCAGGTCTGTGAGCTGAGGTCTTAGAGCCTTGTCAGCTGTTGGCTAGAGGGACACCCTTTTCCCTGGCCATATAGGCCTCTTGGTGGGGCAGCACAGAACCTGGCAGCTGACTTTATCCAGGCTGTAGAAGGTAGACAAGATGGAAGTCTCATTGCTTGGCAGGCTGATCCCAGAAACAGCACCTTGCTTTCTAGCATTGGGAAGAAATGGAGCAAGGCAGTTACAGGAGGCAGGGGTCATAGGGGCACAGATCCCAGCTTGTGATCTGGACTGTTAGCCAGAGGGAAAAGTGCTAGGTCGGTGTTGGCCAACCTCAGCTCAGGCAGTTACAGGAGGCAGGGCTCATAGGGGCACAGATCCCAGCTTGTGATCTGGACTGTTAGCCAGAGGGAAAAGTCAGTGTTGGCCAACCTCAGCTCAGGCAGTTACAGGAGGCAGGGGTCATAGGGGCACAGATCCCAGCTTGTGATCTGGACTGTTAGCCAGAGGGAAAAGTGCTAGGTCAGTGTTGGCCAACCTCAGCTAAGGCAGATGTTAACACTGTCCATTCAGGGATGTAGTTCCCTCATGGGGGGTTGCCAATCAGATGCCATCAGGTCCAGGCAAGGCACGCCAGATGAGTGACAGGCCTGGTGTATCTTTCTGATGGGCTCACACTTGCATGTTCAACCCGTTGATATGTTTTTTTCCTTGGCACCTGTTTTGGAGGGAACACGGGAGCAGCAGGTGCACAGCCATCGTGGGTTGTGGTTAACTGAAAGTACACTTGTCTTCATCCACTGAGCTGGCCAGCCATGCTTATGTGTGAAATCTTACGGCATTGAGTCAGGCTTCGGAACATACACTATTCCAACCAGAAGAAGCCTGCCCCTCTGCAACCTCCCCATGGAGGCTCTGGGACCATCACTTTAGGGAAAGGCAAGGGGCAGGGTCTCGGGCCCAAGTCCCAGCACAGCTCCCCACTGACCTCTGTCTACTTTGCAGTGTGGTAACATGGCCCGGGAGGGACTGCGGGTGCTTGTGGTGGCCAAGAAGTCTCTCGCAGAGGAGCAGTATCAAGACTTTGAGGTAAGTGGTGTGTGACCTTCGCGTCATCCTTGCAGCTCTATCTCCCCAGTCACCTCTCCCATGACCCTTCTTGTTCATCCCACTCTGTCTGTCTCAGTGCCCTTTCTGAGTATGCCAGCTTCCCTGTCGGTGCAGGGCCTTTGCACTGCCTTTCACTCTGCCTGCCGCTCCCTCTGTGTCTGACTCCCCCTGCCCCCCACCCCCTGTTTGGGTCTCAGTTCAAATGCTTCCACCTCCGAGAAGTCTCCCTGCCCCACTTGTCACTTTCTACCCACTCATTTAAATTAACTTCAGTGTCACTTGCTTTAATGCTATTGCTAGTAGGGTTTTCTGTTTATTTATTTGGAAATATTTTTTTTTTTTTTGATTATGTGTATGTGGAAAGGGGGTGTATATATATGCGTGCAGGTGTCTGAGGAGGCCAGAGGGGTCAGATCCCCCTGGAGCTGGAGTTGCAAGTGGTTGTGAGCTGCCACATGAGTGTTGGAACCCAAAGTCAGGTCCTCTGCAGGAACAGCAAGTGCTCTTCTAAGCCAGCTCTTTAACGCCTATTTATTTTTTTCCAAATCATTCAATCTCATCTGTCTCTTTTCTGGAATAAAATCTTTTTTGAGAGCAGTGACCTTTTCAATCTTGTATCCCAATGCTTCTCTATGACCCCCCCCCCCCAGTTGCTGTTTTGAGACAGGGTCCTACTCTGTAGCCCAGGCTGGTCAAAAATTCACTGTGTATCCCCCGCTGGCTTAGAGCTTGCAGTGGCCCTCCTGCCTCTGCCTCCTGAAACGACAAGCACGGTCCACCTAAATATCTTTAAGCTATAACTGGGTGAGCAGTGGGCTAGGTCACCAGTTTGCTTGTGAACCTCTTGCCCCATAGATTGTGTCCCTGGTGGAAGGACCTTGTGTTGCTCATGGCTATGTTCCTTGGTGCCTGGCAGGGCTGACGTACATGAATACAAGGGCTGGGACAGGCTTAGGGACTGGTTTCTAGAGTCCCTGGCCACCTTCTGCCAGCACTGGCTCAGCTCTGTCCCTCAAATGTGTCTCAGGTCTTTGTAAGCCTTCGATTCACAGGCCCTTCCCCTGTAGGTATGTGCCGTGACTGTTCAGACCCCATGAGGGACTTGGGCTTTCCCTCAGGTTTTACTGAATGATAGATTAAAGAGGGAATAGAGAGGTTGGGTTGGGGGTGAATTATCTTCAGAAGTGGGGTTCAGGAGGCCAGTGCTCACCCCTTGGAGGTCAACTCACCTGCTGGGTAGGATTCCCCTGCAGGACAGGATCCATATCACTACCTGGCCTCCTGCACTGAGCAGTGATGTGTCTTTGGTGTGCCCCAGGCCCGCTATGTCCAAGCGAAGCTGAGCGTGCATGACCGCTCCCTCAAAGTGGCCACAGTGATTGAGAGCCTGGAAATGGAGATGGAATTGCTGTGCCTGACGGGTGTGGAGGACCAGCTGCAGGCCGACGTGCGGCCCACACTGGAGACTCTGCGCAACGCCGGTATCAAGGTGAGGCTGCCCCAGGGACAGAACTTGGCCATGCCAGTCACCTCAGGCAGAGCCAAGGCCTTGAGTAGGAGGTTGAGGGTAGAGGGCTGGCCATGGCTGTGCAGCAGAAGAGAGTCAGTGGGAGAACTGCAGCAGGTTCAAGGCCAGCTTGGGCTATAGTGAGACCCTATCTTAAAAAAAAAAAAAAGAGAAGAAAGACAAGAAAAAGAAATTGAGAGTATAAAGAGCAGGAGGCCAGAGTGCCCACCTAGGATTGCCACAGCATCATTTCTGTCTGCACACCCTGGCTTGGGATGACCTCTCACACAAGTGTGCTTTTCTGGGCTGCTGCTACGTAGGACCTGGGTCTTTGGAGAGCAAGGACATGTCACTCAGGGCAGCACTGTGTCTGCCTTGTATCTAGTTGAGTGACTGGCTAGTGGCCATCTGTTGCTCTGGCCCAGTGAGAAAGGGACCAGTCACCCGAGAAAGTGCTGACAAACTTCTGTATTCACATTGCCTAAGCTGCTGTTGGGGTGGAAACAATCCAAAGGGGCCAGTAGAGGGTGTCTGAGGACCAGGCTCCCTGCAGGGAGCCCGTAAAGAGAGTGCTCATGGTTAGCTATGCCAGAGAGTGCACTTGCCTCTGTGACAGCCCAGGTCATTGCTTGAAGATTGCATGTAGCCCAGGCTGCCCTCAAATTCCTGTTTCTCCTACCTCCACATCCCAAGTGCGGAGATTACAAGTATGTGCCTGGTTTTGATATGGTGCTGGGGAGGGAACTCAGGGCTCTGTGCATCCTAGGCAAGCATTCTACTAACTGAATTACATCCCGGCCCTCAACGTGGCCTCTCTCTCTGTGTGTGTGTGTGTGTGTGTGTGTGTGTGTGTGTGTGTGGTGTATGAAACATATGCACATATGTGTGTATGGGTGCACATACCCATGAGTCTGTGGAGGCAAAGGATGTCAGGTGTCTTCCTCTATCACTCCCCCTTATTCCCTTGGGTCAGGGTCTCACACTGAACCTGGAGCTAGGCTAAGTGCCAGCAAGCCCCAGTGACCCTTCAGTCTCTGCTACTCCCCCGACTGGAGCACTGACGTTATAAGTGTACATGACTACACCTGGCTTTTAAAAAGTTTTATTTTAATTTAATTTTTGTTTTATGTATATGAGTGTTTTCACTCCATGGATGTAAGTATACCACATGCATGCAATATTCATGGAGGCCAGAAGAGGGTGTTGGATCCCTTGAAACTGCAGTTAACTGATAATTTAACAACTGTCATACTGGTGCTGGGAACTGAACCAGAGTCCTCTGTAAGAATAGTTAGTGCTTTTAACTGCTGAGCTATTTTTCTAGCCCCCACACCTAGCTTTTTTAAAAAATATATATTTATTTTTATTTTATGTATATGAGTGTTTTGCCTGCATGTATGTAAGAGCATCTGTATTATGCAATACCCATGGGGTCAGAAGATGGCATTGGATCCCCTGGAACTGGAGTTACAGATGGTTGTTAGCCACCATGTGGGTGTTAGGAACTGAACCCAGGTCCTCTGCAAGAGCAGACAGTGCTCTTAACCACTGAGCCATCTCTCCAGCCCCCACTCCTAGCTTTTTATATGGGTGCTGAAGACACAAACTCAGGTCTTTATGATTGTGCAACAAGTGCTCTTACCCACTGAGCTGTCTCCCAGTCCTGAGGTGGCCTCTGGCGGTGGACCAGCACCTGGGATGGAGAGGGTACTCCTGGCTGCACAGTCAACTTTCTGTGAAGTATTAGGAGTGGGCTCTAAGACAGCGCTGAGGGGCAGAGCATAATTAGTCAGAAGCCAGGAATTTTTCCATTGGATGTACTGTGCTGTTACATACCTGGCAGGGCAGAGGGTGCATCTACCACAGCACCACCTACCTGTACATTAGCAGTGTGCTGGGCCATGATATCACAGTGGCCTAGTGCTACCAGGTGATAGGAGAGTTCCAGCTGCACTGTAAGCTTAAGGGACCACCTTCATATGTGGGGTCTGTCATCCATCAACACATGCAGTGGGGACCACGGCTGTATTTGCAGACTCACAAGCATCTCTCGCCTGAGTCCTGGGAGCTGTTTAAGGGGATAAGTGAGGAGATGTTGGGTACCCACAGTAACAAGTGAACCCTGGATGCAGCAGACCCATGGAAGGGGCTCACACATGGAGTGTGTGCTTCCCTCTCCTGCAGCTCCTATGCAGCGCCTTGCAGGTTTATCACAAGGAAGTGGACAGCAGGGCTGTTTTGGGGCTCTGTGGCAGGAGGCCTGTTCCACGTCACATGGGGTTTTTAAGCACAACATTAGCCCTTTTAAAGCCCTGCCCTTCTGGGGCTATAGATTCCACTTTCTGTGGCCAGTTTTGCCCTTAGCTCCTCCTCCTTAGAACTGTCCCATCCCAAGACAAGGAAGGACCTCATTCGTCTAGTATGGACTGGGTTTTATTTCCTACTTCCATTGGAGGCTGGAGGAGGGATGAAGGGACCAGAAAGCCTCATCAAGTCACTGAGGTCTGGGGTGCATGCAGACATCGAAGATGGTAGAACTTGGCAGTCACTACTCCAGCCTTTTGGACAAACAGAAACTGAGTCAGGCAAGCTGGTCACATGCTACAAGGTCTCACCCTGGGAGGTGAGGCAGCTGACACTGGAGCTGGGGTCTTGGGTATGACCTCTGGTGCCCTCTGTCATCCTGGTATGAGAAACAGGCTGTTCAGGACACTGAGAGTTCCATCAGTGCTTTACCAGAGCTCTCTGCATCTTCACCCACTCCCTTGTATTTTTTCTCTTACTAGAACCTGAAAACGGGCACTTGGCAGAATATTGCTTCATTTTCTTTTTTTGAGTCTTGAGGGGCAGCCTAGGCTGTTTTGAAACTCAGGATCTTCTTGCCTCAGCTCCTGAGTGCTGCGATTACAGGCATGTACCACCAAGCCTGACTGTAGTTAATTTTTATTTTATTGGTGTTTTTTTGACATAGGATCTCGCTTTGTAGCCCAGGTTGGTTTCAGATTCACAGCAATCCTCCTGCCTCAACCTCTTGGGGACTGGGATTATAGTTGTGTACCATCATGCCCAGCTGAAGTTCATTTTCACTTTTTATAGCTTTTTGAGACAGGGTCTTGCTATGTAGCCCAGGCTGGCCTCAAATTAATTAGCAATCCTCTTGCCTCAGTCTCCCGAGTGCTGGGATTGGACAGGCATCACCACAGCTGGTTCTAAATGGCTCTTTATCAAGCATGTACTCAGCTTTTATTTCCACCATCAGTGGCTACCAAACCATTGCACTGAGCACGCCTTGGGAATTATGGGGACTATGAGTCTCAAGGAGGTGACCCAGGCACAGCAAGTTCAGCTGGGTATTCTTGGAAGCTCCACTGCCCAGGGAACAAGAGGTCTCAGAGCCCAACCTCCAGAACTATTTCCCTGCCATGATTTCAGGTCTGGATGCTGACAGGGGACAAGCTGGAGACAGCCACGTGCACAGCTAAGAATGCACATCTGGTAACCAGGAACCAAGACATCCACGTTTTCCGGCTGGTAATTCATCCTCTGTATTGGGGCCATATGGGCTGGGGCTTGTGTTTGTCCTGTAACCTCTCCTCTAAAGGAGAGGAAGCCGTAGCCACCTCAGGTGGATGGTGGACAGATCCATGGTTGGTTTCCACAGGATGCTGAAGGACCAGGGGTGGGGGAGTGTTGGGATGAGAATGTCTTTGGCTAGTGTTTAGGAGCCTCCCAACATAGCCTTGAGCTCACACTGTGCTCTGCCCTTTTGGGTGTCTGTGGTCCCCTTTGGGGAACAGAAGAAAGTTAGGTGCCATGTTGCTTTTGACTTTATAGCATCCTAGCACAGGGCATGAAGCCAAGAGCAGCACCCACTGAGAAAAGAGGTGTGGATGCCCAGTCCCCAGCCCTGCACCCTGGGATCCCCAGAGCCACACCTCCCAGCTTTGGTGTCCTGAGTGGGAGATCAAATTATGGTCCTTATATGCAGTGTCCCCATGAGAATAAATGTGTAAAGTGTTCCTATAGAAAGGGCTGGAGAGATTGGTCAGCGGTTAGAGCACTGGCTGCTCTTGCAGAGATGCTGGGTTCTATTCCCAGAACCCACATAGTGGCTAACAACCATCTGTAACTCCAGTTCCAGGGGATCTGACACTGTCTTCTGACCTCCTCAGGCACTGCATGACACAGATGTACTTACATACGTGCAGGCAATATACTCATACACATAAAATAATAACAATAAAAAGTATTTAAAAAAAGTATTCCTAGCCAGGTGTGGTGGTGCACCCCTTTAATCCCAGGACTCAGGAGTCAGGGGCAGGCAGATCTCTGTGAGTTCAAGGCCAGCCTGATCTACATAGTGAGTCCCAGGCCAGCTGGGGCTACAGGGAGACCCTGTCTCAAAAACAAACAAACAACAACAACAAAACCCCCCAAAAGCAACCAACCAACCAAACAAATGGTATTCCTATGGTGCCCAGCCATCCTGACCATGTGCCAGTTCCAGTCCTGGGGAAGTGGAAGGGGATGGGTGTTACACACACAAGCTCCTGGGACCTGAAACATCCATTAGCTGTGGGCTGGTGACAGGGGAGGGGGATGGCATATTCTACACAAGCTCCAGGAGACAGCTGTCCACCATGTTGCCTGCCATCTTCAGAGAGCCAGGCCTTCATCTCTGTTCCCTTCCAGGTGACCAACCGTGGAGAGGCCCACCTGGAGCTGAACGCCTTCCGCAGGAAGCATGACTGTGCCCTGGTCATCTCTGGAGACTCCCTGGAGGTCAGTGTGGGGACCTCTGGGCCAGCTGCTCCCAGGAGCAACAGTCTGTTCCTGCTGAGGGATGTGGGTGAGGAGATGACCTTGGCAGACCTGGCCCTCTCCCGTTCACCCCCAGGTTTGCCTCAAGTACTACGAGTATGAGTTCATGGAGCTGGCCTGCCAGTGCCCGGCTGTGGTGTGTTGCCGCTGTGCCCCCACCCAGAAGGCCCAGATTGTGCGCCTACTCCAGGAGCGTACCGGGAAGCTCACCTGTGCTGTGGGTAAGTTGGCCTGGGTGGTAGGAAGCTCACCTGGGAAGTAGGAGGCCTGGGTGGAAGGAGACTTGCCTGGGTGGTAGTAGTTGATTGTCTGAGGCCCTGACCTGCTGGCCCTGTCCTGCAAGTATCCTGTCCCACTGGCCCTGTCCTACTGGAATCCTGTCCTGCTAGCCCTGTCCTGCTGGTGTCCTGTCCCACTAGCCCTGTCCTGCTGGCCCCATCCTGCCGGTGTCCTGTCCTGCTGGCCCTGTCTTGCTGATTGCCCCTCTGACCCTGTCACCCTGGCCCTGCCCCTCTGATCCTGTCCCTCTGACCCTGTCCCCCTGCCCCTATCCCTCTGGCCCTGCCTCTCTGGCCCTGTCCTGCTAACACCCTGAACCTTTTTGTCAGGGTTCCTACATTCTGCTGCTGTGTGGTCCGACTCCCCAGGCCGCTCGACTCAGGCCATGGCTGTTTTTTCTCCTCCTGGGCCCAAGATTTATTTTGCTAGTACTGTGTCCCATCCCTTGAGAGAGAGGAGGAAAACAAGCCTAAAGGGCTTCTTCTTTATCTGTGGCGGATGGCCATAGCATTGGAGGGGTGAAGACTTTGTGCTGAGGGTTGAATCTGGGTTCAAGTCTTTCCACTTGATGGTCACTGACTGGTTATCTCTGGATAGCTTTCTTCACCCTCCCAGGCCTCAGCTTGCTCCTCTGTGGAATGGGATCAATGGGGTGGTCTCCTCACCTGATATTCTGTACTAAACGTGTCTTGTACAAGAACTGCTAACCACAGTGCATTGTGATGCCCAACTCCTGCACTGTCTTCAGAGGAGGGCATGCAGTGGCTATAGATGCTGGCCACTGCCACTGTTCAGAGTGTGACCCTGGCAGGTCACCTGGTCTCCAGCACTAGGCAACTGCTTGTTTAGAGGGTGGCTGGAGAGTTTGGGTCCATTCTTAGGGAAAGGTGGAACATGGGTTATTACTCTAAGAGAGCATGGATATGGGAGTCACCACCTCTTACCTTCTCCCACATTCCCACCTCTCCTCTCTTGCCTTTACGCTTCACAGGTGATGGAGGCAATGATGTCAGCATGATTCAGGAATCTGACTGTGGTGTAGGTGTGGAGGGCAAGGTGAGCACACACACTCTGCTCCTCTAGCTGGAGTTCCTATTCTTTTTTGGCTTTGTTTTAAAGATGTATTTTAAATTTTATTTATGTGTCTGTATGAGTGTATGCTGTGTGAGTACAGTTGCTTGCGGAGGCCAGAAGAGGGAGCCAGAGGCCAGATGAGGAGTTGTAGTTCCAGGCAGTTGTAATCCACCAGATATGGGCTTTGGGAACCAAATTCGGGTCCTCTGCAAGAGCAATGTGTGCTCTTAACTCATTTTTTTTTTTTTTTTTTCTGAAATAGGGTCTCATGTAGCCCAGGCTGGCCTTGAATTCACAGTATAACTGAGGATGACCTTAAATTCCTGAAACTCCTGCATCCACCTCCCAAGTACTAGGATTACAGACCTGCATATGGTTCATGGTTGAGATGTTATGTCTAAAAACAAAAACAAAAACAAAAGGCATGGGGCTAGAGAGATGGCTCAGAGGCTAAGAGCACTTCTTGCTCTTGCGAAGGATCCAGGTTCAGCTCCCAGCATGTACATCAGGCAGCTCATAACCACTTGTAATTCCATCTCCAGGGGATTTGACACCTCTTTTTGGCCTCTGTAGGCAACTGTACTCATATGCAAATACACACAATTAAAAATGAAGTAAAACTTTAAAAAAAAGCACATTTGAGTTTAACAGAATCCTTTTATGAGTTGTGTACAACTCGGACATTTTCCCTTCTGTTAAAAATTGTATTGTGATTCCTTTGATTTTTAGCATATAAAAGTAGTAAGTACTCACTACAAAATAATAATTTAAGTTACCCCCACCCTGCTTTTTAGTTGCACCAAACTAGTAACATTGAGTATTCTTCCAAAATTTTTTTCTATGTATTACTGGTCATGGGTGTGTGTACATTTGTTAAAGATACTGCCTACACACTTTTTACCCATGTATATACATTATTTTCCTGTATAATTTTAAATTAAAAGCATACCATGCTCTTCATCATGCAGCTTGCCTAAATCTATTACATGTTTGATTCCTCTCTCCATCAGAGTACGTACAGCTGTCACTTCTTACCCTCGCTCTAACTTTCAATTTACTTTTTTGAAGTCTCTCATTACCTGTGCCTTTAATTTAGCAACTCACTTAGAGCCTGACTCTCAATATCGTCATCACTTTGAACTGTCTTAAATAACATATTCCTTTGTACATGTATCAAAATTCACACTTAACAGTGAGTTCTGGGTTGCAAAAGAGGATTTACTTTTGTATCTATCTCTAAACCTTTGTCCCCTAGTTCAACAAAAACACACCTAAGTGGTATAACTTTCTGTTTTTAAGAAATGTCATCCAGGGCTGGGGAGATGGCTCAGTGGGTAAGAGCACTCACCCCAAAAGCATGAGGACCTGAGTTCAGATCCCCTACACATAAAAAGCAGATCATGGCCAAGTATGCCTGTAACCCTTGCATTGGGGGCTGGAGACAAATGGATCCCAAGAGCTCAGCTGGCCAGCCTAGCCCAACTGGCAGACTTTTCTCAAGGCAATAAAATGGAGAATGATAGAGGAAGGCATCCAGGGTCCTTCTCTGGTGTCTGCATGCACATACACGGGTGTTGGCCACCTGCACGGTCATGTAACATGCACATGCATACACATACACACATATGCCATAGAGAAAATCATAATTAAAAAATACATTTTTATTTTTATTTTATGTGTGTGAATGTAATGCCTGTATGTTTGTAAGTGCTCCCGTGTCATGCAGTGCCCACAGAGATCAGAAGAGGGTGCCAGATCCTTGGAATTGGAGTTATGGATGGTTGTTAGCCACCATGTAGGTGCAGGGAATCAAACCTGGGTCCTCTGAAAGAGCAGTCAGTGCTCTTTACCATCGATCCATCTCTCCTGAAAATCACAATTTTTAAAAATGTCCTCAGTTCAGGAGATTTGAAATCTGTCAGTGAGCTACATTGGTCTGATCTTCCTTTGGATTCACCTGTTGGCATCCTCGTTCTCTCCCTCTGAGCCCTTTGGAAGTAGACTGCACACAATGATGTTACTGTTATGTATTTGGCAGTGGCCTTAAAAAAGGGACGCTCCCTACATGAGCATAACAGCAGGATGCGATGCTGATGTAATATCATAGAATATTCATGGACACATTTCCCCAGTTGTCCCCAAAATGTCTTTATAGCTTAACAGCAACAACAACAAAGCTTCAGGAAATAATCAAGGATCCCAAATTCCCTTTATTAGCATACTTTCATGTCTCTTTAATCTTCTTTAATGTAAAACACTTCTCCATTCCTTTTTTAAAGAGTGTTTAGTGTTCTTGCAATATATATATATATATGAGTGTGAGCATGTGTGTGCATGCACATGCCCTAGAGTGCATTGTGGGGGTCAGAGGACAACTCGCAGTAGTCTGTTCTCTCCTTCCACTACGTGGGTTCCAGGGCTCAAACTCACATCCTCAGGTTTGGCAGCAAGAAGTGCTTTTACTCACTGGACTATCTCACTGATAGTTTTGAAGCATTCAGAATGTCACTGAGTCCTTTGACCAGTTCAACCAGCTCCTTCCCACCATGGCCTGTGTGGCCAGGGTCTGATGGGTTTGCATTCTCTCAGTCACTGATAATGTTCCTCTGTCCCAGTACTGGTGTCAATCATCTTCCTTTCAGTTTTTGGGGTTTTTTTTGTCTTTTTGAGACAGGGGTCTCCCTGTAGCCCCAGCTGGCCTGGAACCCACTATGCAGGCTGGCCTTGAACTCACAGAGATCCACCTGTCTCTACCTCCCTAATGCTGGGATTAAAGGCGTGTGCCACCACGCCTGGCAGTCATCTTCCCTTTAAAATGAGAGTGTACCACTGTGTGGATACACTATGAGCTGTCTCCATATGGATGAACATGCAGAGCTGTTCAGGAATAGTTTAACAGTGGGACTGGCATCAGGCTTTTCCCCGTGATTAACCCTGTAGGACCCTAAATGTTATAAAATACCTACTGAATGATTTTTTTTTTTTTTGCTTCTTTACATTCTGTGTGTGTGGGGGGGAGGGACTTAATACTAGATTCATTTGACCTCCAAATTACAACTATCTGTGATTTAGTATGTTTTTTATTTAAGTAAATTCCTCTTTTTAAATCAAATTTGACTTGGACCACCAACTGTGTGTAGCCTGAAACTAGAGAAGCTCTTTACTGAATGCCTTCAAAGCTCTCCTTGTCGAGTCTCGTTTTTTTAATTAAAAAGAAAAATGTGCATTGACCTCTGTGCGTCTGACGGTGCCCTGTCGGATTGTAGGAAGGAAAGCAGGCTTCACTGGCTGCGGACTTCTCCATCACACAGTTTAAGCATCTCGGCCGGTTACTCATGGTGCATGGCCGCAACAGCTACAAGCGCTCAGCGGCCCTCAGCCAGTTCGTGATCCACAGGAGCCTCTGCATCAGCACCATGCAGGTGGGCAGAGCTGGTACCCCTTGTAGGGACATGTGGGCATACTCTGAAGGTGGGTAGCAGCTGGCGCCTCTCGTAGGGACATGTGGGCACACTGTGCAGGTAGGTAGCAGCTGGTGCCTCTTGTAGGGACATGTGGGCACACTGCAGGTAGGTAGCAGCTAGCACCTCTCACAGGTCCACAAGGGCACATTAGACAGTTGGCATCTCTTCACAGGTGCATAGAGGCACACACCATCTAGGTGAGTAGGTAGCTGGCAACTCTCACAGGTACACATGAGCACACCACCTAGGTGGGTGGCAGCTGGCTTTGTGTTCAGGCACACATGACTGTTGTCATGATGGACACCCGTCCCCCAGGAGTCAGCCCCTGCTCTGGAGCTGTTTCTCACCTGGTCAGTTGAAGTCCTCCTCGTCCTTAGGCACGCCCCTCCATTGGTCATGTTGGTCGCCCCTTACTTGAGCGACAGTGCCATTCCTGCTGTGTGGCATGGAGGTAGGCATTAGCAGTGGAGCTCACCGGGGCTTGTCGTGGAGGAGGCAGAGCAGCCGTGTTGGGAGCTATACCATCAGTTTCTCTGGAGGGAGAGGCAAGGTTCATGCCAAGCAACCGCTCCAACCCAGGATGTCCGTGTGCAGAGACAAGGGTCAACAGACAGCAGCCACTCCAGAGGAGTAAATATGCTGTTTGAGGCAGGGTCTTGCTAAAAAGTGTGTGTGTTCCTTCTGCCTCAGCCACTAAGTGTTGGGATTACAGGCATGTGCCACCACACCTTAACTTACTTTTCTTGAGCACTTTATGTACCCTATCAGCTAAGTGTTTATAAATTCAGTCAGTGCCTCCCATCATGCTCACACCAGCCTGAGCCCAGTTTACAGGTGGGAAGGCTGAGGCTGAGTCAGGGCGAGATCTAGTCAGCTCAGGTAAATGCACCTGTAGCCCGCTCTCAGACCCAAGCCTTGCCTTGAAGGCCCTCACTGCAGAGGGCCTGAGGTCACCTCAGCTTGCAGAGGCAGTGAGGTCATAGCCCAGGCTTGCTGGCTCCTGCCACGCAGCCTAGTGGGAGTTGAACTGGCTGTGGCTGCTTCCATCCAACCTCCACTAAAGGATTCTGAAGTGTACATGAGATACTGTTCAAGCTTGTCTCTCTCATTGGCTCCTTCAGGGCCGGACACCAGGCTGTAGAGGCTTAGCATAGAGTAGAAAGAGGCCTGATGGAGGGAAGAAAGCACTGGACATTGAAAAGCTAGGCTAGTGTTCCTTGGCAGGCCTCGAGGCTGAAATGCTCAAGTTTAGTGATGGCAACATTAGACCCAGCTCTCTTTTGCCTGTGCCATAAAGGACCTGTGAGGTCGGCACACATGTGACTACCCCACCCATCCCTCCTAGGCCTTGGCCTTTCAGCCTGTGAAATGAGCTCTGCCTTGCCCTTGATCTCAGCCACTTGGGAAACCAGAATTTTCCAAGACATCCATGCTGAAGGCGTCCTTACTGTCATCAATAAAACAGAGTTGGACACTGTAAATCTAAAGCAGGGATGGTGAGATGGCTCAGCAGGTAAAGATGCTTACTGTCAAGCCTGATGACCTGAGTTCGATCCTGGGACCCACATAGTGGAAGGAGAGAACTCACTCCCACAAGTTGTTCTCTGATTTCCACTTGAACACTGTGGGATGTGTGTGTGTGTGTGTGTGTGTGTGTGTGTGTGTGAATGCCTACATGCACACACAAAAAGAAATAAATAAATGCATGTAAAAGAAAACCAAGGTGATATTTTAGTTTGCAGGCATGTGTGACCTTATACTCAAGGCCTCTCACCTTGCAGAGTGACTGCCATTTGCTCCATGTGCTGGGAGAATTCTTTGACCTCATCCAGGCCTGCTGAGGGAGATTTTATGATTCGGTTGCATCTGAGAGCAGAGCCTAGCAGTGATTTTTTTTTATGATCTAAAGCTAAGCAGCTGCCATAGATCACCAGGCCGCATCTGCACTTTTAATTTATGCTAATCCATCATCAGACCGTTATGCTAATTGACCAATCAGACCGGGCAATGTGATGGTTTCAATCACTGGGAGATTAATGATCTTGTCCCTGGGCAGATAGACAAAATCAGGCAGATGAGCTGCCATCTGCATGCCCAGGCATTCCCATTGGTGTCTGCTCAGAAAGAAGGTTCCAGAAGGTTCTGGAGCGAGGCCCTGTTTCTTGTGCTTCTGAGGAGCTTTAGTCCCTGTCCGATGTGTTGCACCTGGACATCATGATCTTGTGGACAGGACAAGTGTTTTTATTTTCCCTGAAGTGCTCTTGTTCAGATTATGCCCACATAAAGGGGTCACTTTAAGACAAGGGCACTCATGCCTATTTGCAAGGTTACCCACAGCCTGAGTGAGAAGCTGTGAAAAGTTGTTGTCCCTGTGCTGAGAGTGTGAAAATGTGATGGAGCAGCTATGGCTGTGCCTATGTGGCTATGGTGGCCTTCAGTGGCACTTTTTGGAGGGCTGGTTCTCAGTGAACCTTCACCCCATACAGGGGGAGACACTCTGCTAACCTGACTGTTATGAAGGTCTAGACTTCTCTTGATGCTAAAGATTTTTTTGGTTTTGTTTTGACTTAGGTTTTTTTTTTTTTTGAATATGAGTGTTATGCCATGCATGTAATGTCCTCAGAGGCCAGAAGAGAGAGTTGTAACTCCTAGAACTGGAGTTATAGTTTTTAGTCTCCATGTGGGTTGTGGGAACTAAACCCAGGTCCTCTGCAAGAGCAGCCAGTGCTCTTAATTACTGAGCCAGCTCTCCAGGCTCTTGGCTTAGGTATTTTTGAGACAGGGTCCTATGTATCCCACATTGGCTTCAAATTTATGTATCTAAGGATGAGCTTGAACCCCTTATTCTCCTGCCTCTACCTCCCAAGTGCTGGGATTACAGGTGTGTACCATTACTATACAGCCCTGGCTGGCCCAGAATTTGCTATGCAAACCAGGCTGGTCCCAGACTTTTAGAGATCCTCCTGCCTCTGCCTCCTAAATGCTGAGATTAAAGTATGTCCCACTGCAGCTACTCAGCTCAATTTTGAAAGTCTTCACAGAGTGCTCAGCCCAGCTTTCCCTGCATCTTACAGTAGTGGAAATGAGTCTGGGAGCCACAGTCTCTTGCCCTGTGGATGTCCAGAGAAATGACTGATGGGAAAGCAGAACTTGACCTCCCACCTGCTTCATGGGTGTGAGCGGGTATTTTCCAAGACAGACACTTTAATGCAGCCAGTAAAAATCCTTACTGCTTCGTGTCATTGAAAAGTAGCCTGTCACATCCTTTCTAAAAAATGACCCTATATATGGGTCAGACAGGGGCATAGCTCCGTGGTAGTGTGCCTGCTCAGCAGATGCAGAGTCCTCAGTTTGATCCTGAGCACAGCAAAAATAAATTCAAATTTCAAAAATTTCCCCTAAATTCTAAACCGTAATGTATTCCACCCCAGCCTCCAAGGTGGCTGATATGGAAACAGGTGGTTGTGGCCCAGGTGGTTTCCATACACAGGGCCATGGGCTATTAGGGCTTAATTCTGAGCTGCTGGTGGTGCGGGCTCTGGAGACGGGCTAGAATCCCGCAGGCCCTGCCACTTCTGCTACTGTAAAATGTGGGCGACTTCAGGACCCAGGTACATGCTCTCCTCACTTCAGGACCTGGAACCCTCTGACGCTCCCAGCCTTGCTATGAAGGATCTCTGTGGGGCTGGTCAGCCCTGACCCTCTCTGGCCTTACTGTTCTTACCTGTCTCATGGGGATGGTGGTTAATAGTCCTGACTTCTTTGGGTAGTTGTGAGGGCTGTACAGACCCATGCACGAGTACTCAATGGCAAGGGGCACTGTGTGGAATGAGGGCTGTGCTGTAACTCATGGTGACGTCCCTTCCCTCCCTGATGCAGGCTGTCTTCTCCTCTGTCTTTTACTTCGCCTCCGTTCCTCTCTACCAAGGGTTCCTGATCATCGGGTAAGTCACAGACAAGCTGTTCATGTTTTGTGATACATCCCTAAAATGTCCCAGAGGAACATGGAAGTGGTGTAGAGACTTTGGTCCCCCAGGCACCCTGGTTCTGGCCCCAGGGAAGATGGCCAGCAGGGAGATTCCCAGCTTCCCAGAAGTAACAAGGCTTTAACAAGTCCAGCCCTTACACAAGGGGAGGTGTAGCCCACAGTGCCTGGTCATTGATGAATAGACTCAGCCGGAAGGAGGGCCTGAGGTGACCCATGGGGTCTTGGGAAGAGTCTGCAAGCTCCTATTGGGGCTGAGCCCGGTAGGATATTGGGGCCCCCCACTTTGTACAGAGGGCTCAATGGCAGCAAAGGTGTTACTGGGGCATCAGCTGCTGCCAGTACCGCCTCTATGCCTAGCCTGGACCTTTGTTGTATCCCTCTTGGCCTTGTCAGAGAAGACCCAGCACCCCCAATACAGCAGACAGAGGCCTCCTTCCTGTCCACTCTGTCTTGCTGGTTAGTTCGGCCGTAGAGTACCAGACATTCCATTTCAGGAAAATGGACTATCCCCTTGTTGGGTCCTAGCCAAGTAAAAGAACATACCAGAACATAGTTCCAGGTCTCCATATGTATCTTCTGGGTTCCGACGCATCGTCCCTCATCATGGAAGCCCCAGCCACACGGGTTCCTCACCGTTCCTCCTGACAGTGAGGCCTCAGGGCCTTTGCATGGCTTTGCTTTTTCTGCCTGGTGTGGTCATCCTGCAGTACTGGCTGTTCCTTTTGTGGGAGTCCACAGAAATGTCCTGCTCCTCGGCTGCCTTCCCTGAGATTGCACCCCACCCAACTTGTCCACGTCCTCCAATTGGTCTTATCCCTCTCCCCAATTCCGTCTTCCTGCTGGACCCACATCTGTAACAGCTTATTTGCTAGTGACATAGACACTTGTATGAATGCCCTTGGGGGCAGATGTTCACCTGTGTTTTGCACCTTGAGTCACCAGTGCTGACAACTGGCCCTAGAATGTGGCAGGCTCACAGATAAACAGGTGTTGAGGACAGGGAGGGACATGGGGCTGGGGTGGTGACGGATCCCATTGCCCTGGCCGGCCTTACCGTGGCTGTTCCCTTTTAGGTACTCCACCATCTACACCATGTTCCCTGTGTTCTCGCTGGTTCTAGACAAGGACGTCAAATCAGAAGTCGCCATGCTATACCCTGAACTCTACAAGGACCTCCTCAAGGTTCCCCAGAGCTCCCCACTTGCTCTTCTTCCTTCTCTTCCTCTCCCTCCTCCATCTTCCTGCCACCCCACCTGACTTTTTCCTTCTACTTAATGTTTGGTGGGGACACACTCACTCGAATGGGAGGCTTACTTCAGGGGAAGGCTTGGGAGTTTATGCTTTTTTTCCTCAGAACAGCGATAGATGCTGTGTAAGATGAATCAGCACAGTCAAGGCAAACTCAAAACAACCAGTGTCTTTTATAGTTTGCAGCTGCTGGTCCTAGGGAGACCAGCACGTTCGCTGAGTGCATGGGGCTTCCTGTCTACATGTTTGGGTCCCCTTTTTTGTTGTTTTTGTTCTGCATGGCTGGGGTTGGAGCCCAGGACCTTGTGTGTGCTAGACAAGCTCTCTACCATCACATCTCCAGATGTAGTTTTTCTTTTTCTTTATTTTTTTTGAGATAGAGTCTCACTCTGTAGCCGTGGCTGGCCTCAAACTCACAGAGATCCACCTGCCTCTGACTCCTGAGTGCTGGGATTAGAGGTGTATGCCACGGTGCCCAGGCATCTTTTCCCTTTTTGTTTTTGGGGTGGTCTCACTAAGTTGTCAAGACTAGCCTTGAACTCACTCTGTAGCCCAGGCTGACTTTGAATTTGCCATCTTCCTGCCTCAGCCTCTCAAGTAGCTAGGAAGACAGGTATATACCAACTCCAGGTTATCTTTGAAAGATGTCTCTTCTCTACCCAGATGCACAGGAGCCTTTGTGGATATTTGGGATGAAAGTTGGGTGCCTCACAGCATCAGCAGCAGAGAATGAAATGTGGCCCCGTATGGTAACCTGCTCTTGCCTTTCTGTTTCTCATCTAGGGGCGGCCACTGTCTTACAAGACATTCTTAATCTGGGTGTTAATCAGCATCTATCAAGGTGAGGACTGGGTGGAGGGCAAAGCCTGGTTGTCCTTTGCTTTGACCTTGACTGTAGGGAGCCCCTTTAGCACAAGAATAGATATACCTAAGATAGCACAGTGGATGTGACAGCGTGGCCCCAGGGACCATTTTCAGCATGTCAGAAGATTCAGTAGCACAGAAGAGGTACAACTGTCCACTTCACGGGGTGGTAAAGTCAGATGTGTAAACAGTGCAGATCCAGCACCCCTGATCTGAAATGCTCTGAAACCCAAACGTTTGTGAGTCCTAATTTGGTGCCACAAATGGAAAATTCCACAGCTGACCCTGTGGGACAGGTGACAGTTAAGGCACAGATACACTGCAGACAGCTTAGGGGTGTGCATGAAATATGAGCAGGTGTGCTGCACAGGCCTGAGGCCCATCTCCAAGAGACTTCCTTGTGCATGTGCAGATCCTAAAACACCCCAAAAGGACAAAACCCAAAACACTTCCTGTCCAAGAGCTCACAACTCATGCTGCTCGAAACCTGTGGAGGTATCAGATCCATTTATAAAAAGTGCTTTCAGGCCAGCAAGATTGCAGTGGGTAGAAGCGCTTCCTGCCAAACCTGACATCAGTTCGAGCCCTGGGGCCCACATGATAAGAGGAGAAAACCTACTCATGCAAGTTTTTTCTGACCTCCACATGCATACCATGGCACATGTGTACCTACACCCAATACCCACCCACACACTAAATAAATAAATAAATGTAATATAAATTAAAATAGACAACAACAAAAAGTGCTTGTTTGTGGGGATGTGCTGATAAAAATAATAAACTTCCCATTTGAATTCCTTTTTCCTCCATCTTAGAATTTTTATTTTTATGTGTTTTATAATGCATATAGTATTTTGTACACCAATCCTTATGTATCCAGACAGGCACATATAATTTCCAAATAGGCATGCATACTGAGGCATCAGTCTTTGTGGTTTTTACTGATGGTGGTACAGGCAGAACATTTACAGATGATGCGTTTTTGGAAGAGGGTCAAATTGGCACTGAAACATTTTTTATATTTTAAAGTGTTATATTTTAAATGTGTTATAGCATGATGCATATAACTGATTGATAATTGGCAGTCCTCGCTTCCACCTCCTCTGCCTCTACCGTGTTTATAAAGCGGGTACAGGCTGTGGATGCAGCTCAGGTGGTGGATTGCTTGTCTAGCATAAAGGAAGCCATGGGTTCAATCCCCACACAGTAACCTAGGTGTGGTGGTACATGCCTGACATCTCAGCACCTAGAGGTAGATGCTGGAGGATCAGAAGTTCAAGGACAGCTTTGGCTATATGAACCCTCCCTACCACCCCAACCCAGCTATGGGATCTCTCTGACTCCCTTGGGTGCCTCTGTCCTTTACACGTGTAGTATGTGTCATAACTCTGGCCTCCATGACCATTTTTGCTTGTCTGGCATGGCAGTATAAACACACACACACACGCGCGCACATGCACACACGCATGCACGCGCACTGCGTACCAGGTTCCCACACATCTGAACTTGTCCCCATGATGCAGCACCTCCTAGGACTATTCTAGTGTCTGTGTCTGTGGCTCTGATTCTCCAAGCCTCTAAGTTAGGATTACACAAACCACACCAACATGGTTTTAGGCAATTCATTTAAATTTCGATTCTTTCCATCTCCCTTAGCTAGTTGCTCTCTCCGTCTCCCTCCTCAGCCTCCTGTTTGTTTCCCAGAGGTTCTTGGTCATTCATTCAAAGCTCACAGAGGGAAACTGTAGGTTTGTGTCCTCTGGACAGAGCTCTCACCTTGGGCTAGCAAGCCCTTTGGTGTCTGGGGGGAACGTGCTGGATGGTGAGTGGGCAGTGGGTATTCCTCTAGTGTCACATGTGTGGTACCAGCCTGCTGGTGGGCTGCAGGGGACATGCTTTCTGGTGTTTGCAGGGAGCACCATCATGTACGGGGCACTGCTGCTGTTTGAGTCGGAGTTTGTGCACATAGTGGCTATCTCTTTCACGTCCCTCATCCTCACGGAGCTGCTGATGGTGGCCCTCACCATCCAGACGTGGCACTGGCTCATGACGGTGGCTGAGCTGCTCAGCTTGGCCTGCTACATCGCCTCCCTGGTGTTCCTACACGAATTCATCGGTAAGACCTGGAGCATGGGAAGCCGGTGGGCAGCCTCACCTCAGCCCTGGCACCCGAGGCCTGGGCATTTCGTCCTTGGGTCTGTTTCCTTGTCCTGTTTTCTTACCGATGTCCCCTCAGGACAAGTGGTGATTGTGAAGCAGCAAGTGGAATTGAGGGCTTGGTGTGCTCCAGACTACAGTGTGGCTCTTTATTTATGCTGAGACAGGCTCTCATGTGGTCCAGGCTAGCCTTGAACATCTTTGTAGTCAAAGATGACCTTGAACTGTTGATCCTTCTATCATGGGCCTCCATCCCTGAATGCTAGGTAAGCACTTTATCAACTGAACCACAGCCTGCCCAAGTGTGTGTTTTTCTCTCTGTTTTTGTTAGTGGTGCTGGCGTCAGACCCAGGACTTCCCACATGGTAGGCAAGCACTCCCAAGCTATAGGCTCAGTCCAAAAGTGTATTTTTTTTTCTTTTTGAGACAGGGTCTCCCTGTAGCTCCAGCTGGCCTGGAACTTGCTGTGTAGACCAGGCTGACCTCGAACTCACAGAGATCCACCTGCTTCTGCCGCCCAAGTTCTGGGACTAACGGCATGCACTACCATGCACAGCTAAAAGTGTACATTTAAAAAAAATTATTTTATTATTATTTTTATTTCTATGTATATGAGTATATTGCCTGCATGAATATAGGTGCACCCATGCCATGCAGTGCCCTTGGAGGTCAGAAGAGGGCATTGGATTCCCCTGGAACTAGAGTTACAGACACTTATTAGCTGCCATGTGGGTGCTGGGAACCAAAACCAGGTCCTCTGCAAGAGTAGCCAGTGCTCTTAACTGCTGAGCCATCTCTCCAGCCCCCAAGTGTATGTTTTTAATTAATTAATTAATTAGTTTGTTTTTGGTCTTTTTGAGAGAGGCTCTCCCTGTAGTCCCAGCTGACCAGGAACTCTTATGTAGACCAGGCTGGCCTTGAACTCACAGAGATCCACTTGCCTCTGCCTCCTGAGTGCTGGGATTAAAGGCCTGCGCCACCACACCCAGCTCCAAGTGTATGTTTTTAAAACTCCACAGAGTTGGCTGGTTTAGGAGGGAAATCCTTAATGAATTCAGCCAGTACAGTGGGCTACTGTATCTGTGGGCTCCACACTTCCAAATTAACTGAACTTGGGATCCAGAATATTTGGAAAGAACCCTGTCTGTACTAGGCATGCACAGACTCGTGATTTGCCCAGCAGCACAGTCTGGCAACTGTGTGCCTTGGGTCTACCGTGTCCTCTAGAGATGGCTCAGAATCTACCTAATGCATATGTAGGTTTATGCAAATGAGATTCATTTTAACATAAGGGCCCAAGTCTCTGTGGGTGTCAGTATCACCAGGGAGCCCTGGAACAGTTGTTCACCCCACTGCTGTATGGTTGCTGGGCTCCAGTGACCACACTGGGCTGGACACTGAGATGCCTTCAGGCATTGAGCATCCTGGTCACCTTCACGAGTGAATGACAAAGCAGCCCTAGGACAGAGGCCTCATTAACCTTTTTTAGAAATTTTGTTTTTAAAAGTTTTTGCTTTTGGGGCCACAGAACCCCTTGGTTCCCATGATATTTTAAGTAGAAGTCCAGTCTGAGTGTAGGCACATGTGAACCAGTAGCACATGGGAAAAGCCCAGCCTGACCTGGCCCTGATCTGCCACATCATCCTAACCTGGCTCCTTGGGACCTCAGTGGTTCTCAGAGTGAGGCTGTTGCTGGCCACAGATGCTTAGAACTGCCAGCTGCTGCCAGCAATGAGGGCTGCTAGTCCACTTGGTAGACCAGGAGCACCTGCCCTGGACCAACATGGTGAGGAGCCCTCTTCCTGTCAGGGAGGTACAGGGTGAGCAAGCCATTCTCAGAGCACAGGTGGCTAATGGGACCAAGGTTTCAGAGAGAAAACTAGGATGAGGTGGGAGGGACCCAGGCAGACTTCAAGTAAATGGTACCACAGGAATTTATGTAGTAAATGGGAGGAGTGAGGACAGCATCAGATAAGGACAGGGTGGGGGGAGGGGACAGTGGGAGGGGGAAGAGGACAGTGGGATGAGGGGGCAGTGGATGAAGGGGAAAGTGGGGGGGGCAGGACCAGAGTGGGGGTGAGGACAGTGGAGGGGGCAGGAACAGCATGGACAGTGGGTGTGCAGGGTGATTGCCCTGCCCTGTTACAGACACTGGGTCTGAGTGTATGCATCTCTAGGCACCCTTTGCTCTTACCTCCACAGGTCAGGGCAGCTCACCTGGTCCTTACCAGTGAGTAGCAAGCTCTATCCTGAAGGGCTTCCAGGGTGACCCACTCGTCCTGGTCCAGAGTTTCTAGCTCCTCTTCATGTGCTTCTAAACAGACCCAGTCCATCGACTCAGCCTTTTTTCTCTGCTCTCTTTGTGACTCTGATCTTGGTTTTCCCAGCCCAGGACCGATCAAGCCTCTGAGCTGTGGAACTTCCAGGCCTTGTGGTCATGGAGGCCTCTTGAGAGGCAGGAATCTGTCATCTAGATGTCTGCCCTTGAGTAGAAGCAGGGCATTTCTGTGTCCTTTAAATTAACCCAGACAACCCAGGATGAGTCTTCTAATCAGTGGGTCCAGCCTGGTTTCCTGCTGCTTCCCTGCCTCTCAGTCCTCTGCCATCCAGGTGGCAGGTCCACCCCTGTGGGGACTTGCCAGTTATAGGGGCAGAGAGAGGCCTGCAGGGGCCCATGGCCTTTGAGAGGGCCATGCGGCCTTACCACCAGGGCAGTGAGACCTAGTCCCTCTTTGGTAGGTATAAGCGCATCTTCCCCTTATGCATAAGATGCAGCAGTGTGTGCAATGTCAGCCTAGATCAGCAGACCCGCAGCACTCAGAGGAAGCAGATCGGGGGAAAGTCTGCCGAGGTGGACACTCAGACACTGAGTGCCGAAGAGGGCACTTAGGAGAAAAGCTGGGTCTGTCCTGTCCTCGGAGAGTCCTTGGTTGGGGTTCTTTCCTCAGCCTTTGCAAATTGTCAGTAAAAGAAAGAACATCACCATGGAAAGTGAGATGCTAGTTTACACTGACCCTTTCTTTCAAAAGAGGTTTTGTGAGCACCTACTATGTGCCAGAGGGCTTGGGTCTGAGGGGATGCAGAGATGTGGTTGTTGCCCAGGAAGCTCAAGTACTCTTGGACGTTGAACAGCCAAAGTGAATGGCACATGAGAACTGAGCTAAGTGCATAGTAGGTGCTTCATTGGTGACAGCCTCCCTTCCATACTGTGCCCCGCACTGGGAAGGGTTTATCCTGGCATCCCCTGTGTTGGAGACCACAGCTGCTACTGCCCGCCCCTTCCCTCTTTCCCTCAAGCCCCCCAGCCCAGGTCAGAGCACCCCCGAGCATGAGCCTGGTTTGACAAGGGGGTCTCTGCCCACCGTGCTCTGTACCTCAGATCCTTCCTGGTCTTCTGTGGATGTCACTGAATCTGAAAAGTGGGGAGCAGAGCCACATGCTCAGTGTTACTGTCTACTCTCCATAGCTTAGAAGAAACTCCACTTGTCATTTGGGATCAAAAATACCTGCGGTTCTCTTTTTCCCACAGGTTTCTCTTCCTAGTTGTTACAAATAGCATTTCACTGAATTTCAGGAGCAGTGAGAGGGGGATGGGAGACAATCAGGGCCCTGAACACTGCTGGCCCACTGTGTGCCCTCTGCAATAAAGGGGGGTGGTGCCAAGGGTTGAGAATTTAGGACAGAGACACCTTTGCTTCTGATGGCCAGGGTGACAGTCTCTTGATTGCATGGACATCTTCTAGAATATTCCCCTCACGACTATCTTCCATTGTTTTCAGATGTCTACTTCATCGCCACCCTGTCATTCCTCTGGAAGGTATCTGTCATCACCCTGGTCAGCTGTCTCCCCCTCTACGTCCTCAAGTACCTGCGGAGACGGTTTTCTCCCCCCAGCTACTCAAAGCTTACGTCGTAGACTGCTCAGTGGCAGCGGGGACTCTGGTCTCTGCAAGTTCTGTGGACAGAGTTCAAGTTCCATGTGTGTTAACCACCTCCAGTGGACGGTGCAGCCATGGCTGGCAGGAGCAGTTTCAGTGTGATGAGACTGGGGAACTAACAGGGTTGTGACACTGAAGAAATTGGAGGGAGGGGCCTAAGAGATGTACCTGTCAGGAATGTGGGCGCCATGCAGAAGTGAGGATGATCCTGTGGGACCGAGTGACTCAGCTGAGGTTTCTGTGGGTCACTGGGCCAGCTTCCTTATGACTTGAATCTGTTGTCATGTGATAAAAGTTTTTGTGTAGTTGAAGGTTGCAGAAGGCTTTTTGTTCTTTAAACAGTCATTCCATGTTTGTTCCTCAAATCTTTCTTGCTCCTACAAAGTAGTCAGAAAAATATAAAGCTCTGAAGCTGGATATGGCCATGCTCACCTGTAATCCTGGCACTAGGGGCTGAGGCAGAAGGATTACTGCAAATACAAGGCTAGCCAGGGCTGTGTAATGAGACTGTTGCACACACACACACACACACACACACACACACACACACACACACACAGAAAGAAAAAACAAAGCTCTCTGTGTAGGTGTGGGAGGAAGTGACATTTGGCCAGTTCCCTGAGCCTCCTCTGGTTGGGAAACGCTCAGTCCTTTTTGGGCAGCCCCAGCTGTGGAGTTGCCTGGCTCCTCAGCTTTCGGAAGAAGGTAAGAGAAGAGGCTGTGTGTTAGCTTTGATCCACTTCGACAGCCTGCAGTTGGCTTCACCTGCCACCTCATAAAACAGCCTCCCAGAGCTGTGATCTCGCTGTGTCCGGAGCTGGTGATACTGACATAGCCAGTGGCTATCCAAGGACAGCCTGGACACTTTCAACAAGGTTGCCACTAAACAGCCCTTAAATGTGTCGACAGCGTGATAAGAGGCTCTGCTCATTCTTTACACAACAGAGCAGCTGTGACTCAGATATTTTGAACCCTGGGCAGAGAGGTCAGCATTCTGGAACCTTCTCTTCCCCAGCAGCACATTTCCTGTTAGGAGGAATTACTGAGGACTGAGCTGACAGAAGCAGAGGCCTCTTGTGAGGCGTTCCCACCATGGAGGAGGAGGCCCCGGCTGCTGCTTGGGGGATCAGGCATCAGCCCCCCACTGGCTGAGGGGAGGTGAGGGGTGGAGTCCTCCCCTGTGAGGGTGGCCAGCACGTGTGTGTTTTTTATAAAGCTGTGGCTGCTGCTTTCTAAAGGAGAAGGGGGTCTGCTAGCATTGAATGTGGCAGGGCAGGGCATTCTCTGGGTTTCTAGTCTCCTTGTGGAAGCCACATATGTGTGCCATCAGGGTTGGCTTGGCAGAGCCTCATGAACCAAGAGTGGTTGCTGTGTTGGATTTACGATTCACAGTCATGAGCAGGGCCTCTACAGACCTTCCACATGACACCCCTCCTCTGAGCTTCAGAAACACTAGTCACTGGCTGGCTGGGTCACCCGCTACCCATCCTGGTTGGGGACAGGAGGATCAGACAGTCCCTCAACCTTGGAGTGCTTGAGATATGTGCTTGTATTGTGTTGCCCTTTTAAATACATTAAATTGGCTGTTCACTTCTATTTTGTTTTAAGATTTCTGTGCTTTGACAGTGTTCCGCCTTTCCAATTCAGTCATTTCTTTCAGAGAACAAAGACCTCCAAGCAAGATATATTATCGTCAATAATATTGTCCCAATATTTCAGGAAGGCAGAGCAAACCTATTTCTTTTTTAAAAAAATTTTTTTATTATATTTATTTTATGTGTATGTGTGTATTGCCTGCATCTAGGTAAGTGCACCCATGTCGTGCAATGCCTGCGGCAGGACAGAAGAGGTTGTCTGATTCCCCAGGAACTGGAGTTACAGACAGTTGTTAGCTGCCATGTGGGTGCTGGGATTCGAACCTGGGTCTTCTGCAAGAACAGCCAGTGTTCTTAACCACTGAGCCATCTCTCCAGCCCCAGCAAACCTATTTCAAAGATGGAGGAGGAAGACGTTTTACTCAGTGTCCTGGGGCCTCCAGTGCACCTCTCAGAAGTCATCCTGTAAAACTGGAAGTTGTTAAATAATTTTGTTCTGAGCTTGCAGACCTGAGCTTGCTTCAGAGGATGAAGGCTATGGTTGGGCATGTGAAACCCTTGCTGGAGAGTTGGATTGTTTCTTGCAGACACAGAAAATTGCTCTCTCTGGCCTTTTCATTAGTTCCCAGTTTTGATGGAATCAGTACTTCAGATCCATTTGATACCTCGGAGGTGGTTGCCGGGTGGCGGGGGGCATCTGTGAGCAGCTCCAAGGCAGGGCCCTAGTGCTGGTCAGGAGAACACACACGACCCCGGGCTTGGGTCTGCAACTCTGAGGCTTCTGTTAGCCTTTTCCTCAGTTCATCCATCTGAAAAGAGCCTCACCTCACCTAGGAACTCCAAGGGACCCAAGTCCCCCAAAGCACATTTAATTTGAGCTTCGAAAGCCTCAGGATACAGTCACCTCCCTTTAAACAATTTTTCTTAAAGTGGAAAGGACACACACACAAGCACGCACACACACACACACACACACACACACACACACACACACATGAGCACACCGTGTCTGAGGAGGACTGTGGGTAGGACAAGCAATTTTCCTTTGGTTTCTTTTATTTACCTTTTCTACTTGAAGATGTGAGGAGCAGACGCCTCTTCATTCCACAGCTGCTAATTTGGGGAGCACATGCTCTAGCTCCCTGGAGGCTGAGAGCTGGGATGGTTCTACCTCAGAGCTCCTCCACCTCAGCTTTGCTCCCTACTGAGTGGAGCCCTTTATGCATTGGCAATCACCATCTCTGCCAAGACTCATGCTCTACGCGCCTGTGGACCTTAGGTTGTGCTGGCAATGCTTTTTCATGTATTTTGAATTTGGTCCTCACTGGAAATTGATGCATTAGTGTTTTTTTTTTCTCTGAACTTCTGTTTTTATACTTTGGTGTCATGGGGAGAGGGAAGCTGGGAGGCTTGGAAACATGCCCTTAGGGACAACATTTTGAACTTTTGCCAAAATTTCAATAGGGACCCACACATTCTTCTGTTTTTTCCTATTTAGCAATGATGCATATTGGGGCCTGCAAGATGGCTCAGCAGGTTAAGGTACTTACAAGCTAAACATGACAGCCTGAGTTTGATCACTGGGACCCATATGGTGAAAGGACAGAACTCCTGAAAGTTGTCCTCTGACCTCTACAGGTGCACCACACCATGACATGCATACATAAACATGCATATGCACACACAAAAATATGTATGAGCTATTAAAAATTTTAATTTATGTGCATGAGTGTTTTGTCTGCATATATGTAAGTCATCCATGTGTGCAATGCCCAAGGAGGCCAGAAGAGGGTATAGGATCCTTTGGAACTGGAGTTGTGGATAGTTATTAGCCACCATGTGGGTGCTGGGAATGGAACCCAGGTCCTCTGCAAAAGCAGCCAGGGTTCTTAACTGCTAAGCCATCTCTCCAGCACTGGATCAGCTACTTTTGTCTTTAACCTTTCTATGTGTGTTTGATGTGAGTATGCCCATGATCTATATGTATTTGACTTGAGTATACCGATGATGCTATCTTTCCTATTTGGCTTTCACTGCTTTAAAATTCCCTCTCTGGCCGGGGAGAGGGATCAGTCGGCACCAAGCTTACCATGCAAGCATGAGGACCTGAGTTTGGTCTCCATCACACACATAAAAAGCCAGATGTGGTGTATTAGTTACTTTTCTGTTGCTGTGATGGAAACAGCATGACCAAAGGAGTTATAAAAGGAAGAGTTTATTAGCTTACAGTTCCAAAGAAAGGGGCAAGAGTCCATCATGGTGGGGAAGCATGGCAGCAGAGGTGCCTGGAGGAGCGGAAGCTAAGCTCTTAACATCTTCAATGAAATGGGCAAAAGAAACAAGAAACTCATGACCTGGCAAGGCTTAAGAACTCTCAAAGCCCACCTTCCTCCAGCACGGGCACACGTAAGACCTCCCATCAACCAGGGACAAAAATGTCTTAATACTTAGAGCCTATGGGGGACTTTTCTCATTCAAACCACCACACACAGTGATTCATGCTTATAATCCCAACACTGGGGAGGCAAAGACTGGAGAGTCCCCAGGGCTCCCTGACCAGCCAGACCAGCTTAATGGGCATCTTCCAGGTCCAGTGAGACTCTACCCCCCAAAACTAGGTGAGTAGCACCTGATAGGGTACACCTGAGGTTGGGCTCTGATCTCCACATGCACATGCACTGGCATACATGTGTGCACGCCCACAAACATACACCCACCAACTCCACCTCTCCCAGGCCTCTTCTCACTTAGAAAAAAAAAAAAAACAAATAAAACTTTTTGCTATTTTCATGTATTTGAAATATTTTAAGCAATTATGTCAATTTCTTCTTTGGGGGAGGGGAAATCAATGGAGGGGGGAGAGCAGTGCTACTCAAACCTGGAGCCTCAGAGACCCGCTCAGGTCACAGAGGCCTCTCCTGTGCATCTGTCCCTGGTGTGATCGAGTGCAGTTCCTAGATACAGGCTAGACTGTCATGACCAACTTGTTTGTAGGTGAGGTAGGGTGTGATACTTGCAAAAGGAATAGCAGCAGAGCACAGAGCCTGTGCTCACTCATCCAGAAGCCCAGCTCCCTCCATGGATGGGTGGTGTGTGTGTGTGTGTGTGTGTGTGTGTGTGTGTGTGTGTGTGGTGATGCCTGCTGGGTGCTTACTAGGCCAGTGCTTTCTGATTAGAAGGAAGATTCTCCAGCACAGCATGTTTGAATTTGTTTTGCAGGAATGACCAGCTGCTTCGAATTCTTGGTTCTGTGATGACACCCATCTTAGTCTGTTTCCGGGTGATCCCTCTTTCATTGTTTGCCAGCATGGTCCATTACTGCTGTCCAATAAAGCTGTGTTCTCTCTGCCTTTGGGGTCATTTTAATTTGTGAGGGAGGTGAAATGCAGGCACATCTTACTATGGACCTATTGTGTTCCTATGTTGTGACACAATATATGTAAATAACTTCTTTTCCAGTTAAAAGTTGTTTGGGGGTTGGGGAGATGGGTCAGTCAGTAAAGTACCTAGTGTGCAAGCTTTAGGACTTGAGTTCGGATCCCTAGCACCCACATAAAAGCCATGTGTGGTTGTGTACATCTGTAACCCCAGCACTGGGGAGGCTCAGCCAGCCTAGCAGAACCAGTGAGCTCCAGGTTCAGTGAGAGACCCTGTCTCAAAAATAAGTGGAAAGAGCTGGAGGAAGATCCTGTCATCAACCTTTGCCCTCCACACTCAGGTGCACACCCATGTACCTGCACACATACCCACACTAGAACACACATATTATTTTGGTTTCATCAAAAAACTGAGGCACCAGCACCCACATACACACCCACATGTTATTTGGGATTCATCGAAAAACTAAGTAGCTCATGTCAATTCTTATATTGTTTTTTTAGACCTGACAGAAAGATTGATGCAAATGGAGAAAAAAGTCAAAAGTCCATGGTTCCTGTGATGACTGGCAATCTTTTCTCTTTTGCTTTTTCAATCAAGTAATGGAAGATTCAGGAATACAGTTCATTTTTAGACAAAAGAGCTTTATAAACAAGGAATACGGTGTTTCATTAACTTATCCAGCCTCCAGTCATAGGTGAGTTTTGTCCTGGGGGACACAGAATGCTATCTAAAGACATTTTCCATTACCGCAGCGGGTGTCGGGGTGCTTCTGGGTCCTAGTGGGTGGAGGTCAAGGGTGTACAGGGCCCCCCACATTAAGCTGCACCCAGCCTCCATGGTAGAGTCGCTGAGTTTTAGTGGCCTTTATTTAACAGACTTCTATCAGTCTGCCATCCGTCTGCCTGTGTAACAGTATAGGCTGTCCTGTCTCCAGAGACACATTATTCACCCAGCTGGCCCAGATGGTTCAATTTTCAGCTTGACCATGGGAAGGGCATTCATTCTTCATTACTGATCAGATGGAGGATGACGGCTTAGCTGTTGGCATGGACAGTGCTACCCTGAGCAAAGTGGTCACACGCTGTCAAGGTGGACACATGTAGTATTTGTCCCCACAGACAACCGTCAGCTGGTCTTCTGGACTCTGCAGGGAGATGTGTGCCCAGGCTGCCCTTGCACATCCTGGCCACCAGGGGGCTCTTGAGGACCAAAAGTCACTGGGCACCCTGGGTGCCCAGTTGCCCAAGTTCAGATGCCTGGCTCCAGAATTTATTTCATGGCTGGCAGCTGCGTTAAAAACAGACATTTCTTTTCATGTTGTTGACTAGAATATTTTGCTGGGCTTAGCATTAAAAAAAGGCAGGGGAGGGGAGGGTGTGGGAGATGATTATTAATTTGGTCTTAACTATTCACATTTTTGAATAGCTGGCATCCAGGCAGCCCTGCCGACTCCCTGTTGAAGCTAATTTGGTTTAGAGACGCGATGTTCCAATACCCCAAGTACTTCAACTGTTTTTGTTATGAAACTTCGCAGGGTGACATGCAGTCCAGCGGTGTTTGTGAGGTGGCTCGAGAGTGATGGATCGATTCACCTCAAAATAGAACTGTCGGACTCCAAGC